TTTATTGTGTCTGAAAAGCTCCAGGGCTTCCTTTCCACTCCCCACTCCCAGATGGTAGCCTGTAAAAAAAAAAAAACCAAAGAAAAAAAAAAGGAAATATTAGAATAAAAAAGGAAATAGTTTGGTTCTGTCATGAATGAAGTTTGGCTTTTCTAGAGAGGATGTGGGAGAGAAAAGAGGTGGGGGAGAAAGAAGTCTCAGGTGTGTTTGCAGGGAAGGGTGTGCCCTGCCATGTATTTTAAGCTCTGCTGGGTCTGTGCCACTCGTTTTACAGCACTGCTATGAAAAGGGATCCGGGTCGTGCTTTGCCTTTAATCTCACCATGACCAGCTCAAATGAAAAAAAAAACACTCCCTCTTCTGATGAATCTGTTTCATTTACTTAATGAGATCTCAGTTCTCCATTCTTGTCATTGGGAGGAGATGCCTTGGCTTATTTACCTTATTTAGCTAAGCTGGTTGGTCTGAAAGGGTTTTCTTGGTGTTTTGTTTTTTTTTTTTTGGAAGGAGGAAGGAGCAGGTGGGTGGGAAGCAGTGGGGCTTGTCAGGCTGCCGGTTTCCCTCTCCAGGGGGTTCTCCAGGTGCAAAGGGAGCTGCTCCAAGAGCAGGGGCTCAGAGGAAAGGCTTCAAAGGGTAGGATGACGCTGTCTGTCCAGGTGGCAAGGACAAGGCAAGGACAACCTGCTGCTGTTGCAGGTTGGGGTACAGTTCCCAGGGAGCAGGACTGGGCTGTTGCAAGTCCAGCCACTGCTTCTGCACTGCACACGAGCAGCAGGGCTGGCATGCTGCCTTGGGGTACTTATGGAGCAGAGGAGAGATATGGGATGGCAGCATCTCATCCTGCTGGTCCAGCACTGGGGCATGTGCTTCTTGCTCCTGCAGGAAAGCGAGTCTCCCAGGCAGCTGTCACAACCAGGACAAGTAACGAGGACAAGAGGAAACAGCCTCAAGTTGCATGAGGAGAGGTTTAGGTTGGATATCAGTGAAAATTTCTTCACAGAAAAGGTTGTCAGATGTTGGCACAGGCTGCCCAAGGCGGTGGTGGAGTCCCCATGCCTGGAGGGATTTAAAAGCCACGTGGATGTGGCACTTGGGGACACGGGTCAGTGGTGACCTTGGCAGTGCTGGGGGAACAGTTGGTCCCAATGACCTTGGAGGGTTTTTCCAGCCTAAAATGTTCTGTAGGTCTATACTGGGACTGGCTTTTCAGGGGCCTGACCTGCTGACCTTTAGCTGTCATAATCTAGGTCATCTCAGTATGAAAGGTCTGTCTGAGACCCTGAGGT